CCGTGGTACTTTTATGGAAACTGTGGGCAACCAACAGGGCATCGCACGCCGTCGTTAGCCCTGATGGCCCCTGTAGGCGACCAACAGGGCATCGCACGCCGTCGTTAGCCCTGATGGCCCCTGTGGGCGGCCAACAGGGCATCGCACGCCGTCGTTAGCCCTGATGGCCCGACCCCGCACGCTCTGACCTCCTCCAAATATTGCGAGCAAGCCTTCGTGTTCAGAATATTGGCCACAGACACACAATCCTTGTCCACGTACATTGCTATCTTCCGGATTGTGGTCAGGTACATCGCTTGCGTGGACTGCGCAAAGAGGGTCTTCTTCCCAAGGGGACTAGTCAGCCAGTCTTTGAAGTCCACCAGGTCTCCGCTGATAGGGTGCATACACGACAGGCCCAAGTCCTTCTTCTTTTGCGTTTGTTTCGCAATATCTTGCCGAGAAATTCGCTGCAGTCCCTGCGCAGGTCATGCGCAGGTCATGCGTAGGCAATGGCTTCCAGCAGCGCAGGTCATGCGCAGGCAATGACTTCCAGCAGCGCAGATCATGCGCAGGCCTTGTCAAGTGAAGATGATGCACCGCAACTCCTCTCACCAGGCACGTTTGGATCCGCACCGGCATTGAGCAAATGCTGCAAGCAATCAACGGTGCCTCAATCAGCAGCTGCATCAAGAGCTCCACCGTACGAGGGTTGACGTCTCCCCAAAGAGCGACGGAAACGGTAATACCCTGGAACGTGCAACAAGTTCTTGTCAAAAATGTTTGCCAAGAACTTAGAGAAGTAGCATTATAGGCACAGGCACCCCTCGCTAACCTTGCCAACAATGGATCTCCAGAGGCAACCGCCAGGCATCCCTCGCTAGCCTTGCCCACAATGGATCTTCAGAGGCAACCGCCAGGCATCCCTCGCTAACCTTGCCCACAATGGATCTTCAGAGGCAACCGCCAGGCATCCCCCGCTAACCTTGCCAACAATGAATCTACAGAGGCAACCGCCGCTTTGAGTTTGACTCCTTCTCTGAGAACACGGGGTGAGTAACTTTACTTTTCTCCGTGCTTGCAGCTGAACAGGCTGAACAGGCTTACCCTTCCTAGCGTAGCAAGGCAAAGAATCTGATCAACATTCACCTCTGCTATCACTGCCGATTAGGAGTGAAACGCTGAACGTGCAGCAGCAGCAGCAGCACAGTGCGTCTGGCGCTCATCAACATGACAATCGGCAATAAACACACGACAACTGTATCCATCCGGCAAGTTATTGTGGATGGTGTCAAAGGCATCATGTATGTATGTATGCCAAGCTTGGTTGTCCAGGGAGAGCAACAGCGTATGTATGCCAAGCTTGGTTCTCCAGGGAGAGCAACAGCGTATGTACGATGTTCACCGTCCACATGAATCTGAAATCAGCATGAAGAACACACAGACCACACGCAATAAGGACTAAGCCAATGACAACGTGAATACATTGAAAAAATCAAAAGTGCCAATGTTGAACAATGCAGCTGGCAATGGATAGCGACTCCTTCAACTCCGCGGTCTGCCGATGGCCTTAGCCCTTTGACTGCCGATGGCTTTAGCCCTTTGACTGCCGATGGCCTTAGCCCTTTGACTGCCGATGGCTTTAACCCTTTGACTGCCGATGGGTTTAGCCCTTTGACTGCCGATGGCTTTAGCCCTTTGACTGCCGATGGCTTTAGCCCTTTGACTGCCGATGGCTTTAGCCCTTTGTCTGCCGATCCTCTAATGGCGGCTGAAAGCAAACTCTCTTTGAATTGTGCAACTGCGCTACGACTTTGGGATAATTTCGCTTGGCTCGAGAGAGCTGGTCTCCAGCGTTGTGAAGACTGGTGTCTCCTCGCATGGTTTTCCTTATAGTACCTTTCCAGGAAGCTAAATACAGTAAAACCTGGTTTAAACGACCACCCCACGGTGACCCCACGGTGACCCCACGGTGACCCCACGGTGCAAGGAAAAGAGGTCATTAAAGCCAGGTGTCTTTAGAACCAGGTCCCACAGTGTCTCAGTGTAGAACTGTCCGTGCATGAAAAAACGGTGGTTAAGAGCAGGTGGTCGCTAAAACGAGAGGTCACTTACACCCGGTATTACTGTATCTTGAAATTTAGAGAATGAATGCTGGAGTTACGATCTTGAGATTGTCAAAATCGATAAAGGGAAACCAAAGTTGTGGTTCGAACAGCTTCCATTTGTAGTGCGTTCGGCGATTTTCCAGAACGAATTTGGCAGCTATTGGGTATTGAATCCGATTGGGGTATGGCAAGATGTTGAAAAAACCCGTATTGTGCTCGCCTTGGATAGATACGGCGAGCGATGCGGGGGGAGGACTGCTCTCCCACAACTCTCCTTGAGAGGATAGCGAGAGTGATTGTTCACTCTCCTGGGTTTTTCTTACACGATGGTCTGTCTATAGAGCCCTGGTGTACCTCCCTGCAGCAATCAAAGGGTTAATGAGTCTTCGCATCCACGCCAAACTAGCACGAGC